GGAGCTTTTTGTGTTGATTTTCTCTCCTTTCTGTAAAGACAACCCCAAGCACAGAGACAGCCTCTAATGACTTGAGTGTTCAAGAAACAGGCAAGATCCAGCTGCAAATCAGTTGTCATTTTGGGATGGTATAAAAGGATCAATTTTCCTTGTACACTGAATCTGGCTGGTTCCTTCCTTCAGGGATTTCTTTGTTTTTGCAGTAGCTTTAATCTAGAAAGCCTTTTCACCAGCAGCTGCAGCAGTCTCACTCAGCTTCATCTTAGCCTTTCTGCTGTTATCTCCTGCTTTAGTAATTTTTGGTGTGAGATCTTTTGTTTTATTGGCAGTATCTTATCAGGTGCCAGCCTCCAGAAGGCTCCTCTGTACCATCACACAGACTTTCCACTGCATTTACAAACTTAGTATCTATTTGTCTCTTTGTACTACTATTTAATACAAATATGTCTATTTGTACTAAATGAGGAGCAATGGGCAGAAACTTGAACACAGGAGGTTCCACCTGAACATAAGGAAGAAATTCTTTACTGTAAGAGTTACTGAGCACTGGAACAGGTTCCCCAGAGAAGTTGTAGAGTCTCCTTCTCTGGAGATAATCAAAAGCCATCTGGACACAAGGCTGAGTAATGTGCTGTGCTTGAGCAGGGTGGTTGGGCTATATGATCTGCAGTGATCCCTTTCAACCTTGGCTATTCTGCAAAAATGTGAAGGCCTTGCAGCTTCAGAGGGTGGCAAGTGTGGTGAGTTTTTTTCACTACAAATAGATTCAGTGCTACAATCCTTCCAGTTTTGTCATTAATACTGGTTTATTGTGATACAATAAACTGCTTCCAACAACTGTTATTTATCCCTGGAAGAATAAAGTAAATATGCTTCTTGCAAAACTGTCCTTAAGAACAGCTGGATAGTACCTTGTAACAGCTGCAGCTATCTGTAGCAAGAGCAGTGAAAAACACCCAATATCTCAATGTTCAATGCTGCATATAATGCCTTAAAAAATTAATAGACTTTTGGGTGTAAGGTTTACCATCAGGCATGCTGAGCCAGTATATTTCTATCTGGAGAAACTGCTTAAGCATGTACATGATTTTCATCACCTGTCTAATGCTCTGAACTCATGTCTGTGGTGCGTAGTTGTGCATGTGTGAAGTGTTTTTCTGAAATGGCCTAGACTAATATGTGAAGACTCTCCATGGGCTTGAAGTAAAGCAAGGGAGAGTCCTTTGTGGTTAGGCAGTACTTTTACAGCCAGAGGTTTTTAATGTCCCCCTGTGCCCTCTGAAGTGGAAGGTATGATGTGCTGTCTTCAGTTTGCTTTAAGTTACTATAGAATCACCAGGCACCTCTATGGAATTCTGAAAATACCAGGTAGATACTGGATTTTAGGCTTGTGTAAGCCTCATTGCAATCTTATGATTCAGAGCCTTCAGTGTAAACAAGTGAAAGCCTAGCAAGTTGAAAATGTAAATAATGTTATTGGAAAGAAGTAGCGTATTACAACATGAAATCAACTTGTTAGCTACTTGGCTATTCAGAGTACGGCCTGTGTGTCTCCACTTGTCCAGATGTTCTCTTGCATCACCTTACACATGTTTATTAATATGTTTTGAAGATGGGTCACATTTTTCAAGGTACTTCAGCACTTTGGGAACTGAGTCCTGCAGAAAACCTCAGCCCAGCTGTAGATGTTGAGCACAGAGATCCTTGAATGTTGCTGAGCACGGTAGCTGCACTACCTACACCTGCTTGTTCTTTATTTTTTTCCTTTTTTGTTTTGTTTGAGGTCTCTCTGTGTGGCAAACAGGATATGTGTGTATCTGAGCATGAAAGTAAAACTTGCTTACTGTAAAGGAAACTTTTCCCAGCTGAGTGTATTTAGAACATAACCAGTAGGAGGGTGTGGAACAAGAGATGCAAAGACAGGGTGAACTCTTTCAAGAGAAGCAGCTGTGGAATATTGACATATATGCTGACAAAACACTTAAGAATGAATGGCAGGGGCATATTACTGAGCTTTTTAACAGAAATTCTGATTCATTTTGCCTTTGCTGACAACTGTACTCACTCACTGTTGTGTGCATTTGTGTACAAATCTGAAGCTATTGTCTCTAATAGCTTGAACTTGCCTCTAGTAAATAGTCTGAACTTTTGTTTGACCCTTAGACCATAATAATTCATTTGCAGATGCAGCATAAGTTGTATTACAGGTATCCTTCAGGGTAGCATTGTAAAACTCAAGGTTATTCATTTACTCAGTTTCCTGCAGTAGAATTCCGCACCCCATGCAATGCAGCAGAGGAAGTTGTTTGCTCCCCTGTGGATTGCAGAAGGATGGGTATTTCTCTTTACAGTTCTTTGTGGAAAAAGGTGATGAAGGAAGTTCTGCTTCCTTTCTGTGTGTGTATATTTTCTTGATCTTTTTAACAAAGTGAACTTTCCCTTTTCACTAGTGGTAGCTGATGTTTTTTTCTGAGCTCTGCCTGGCCTCAGAGGCCAATTAAAATGTTCTTGAGGTAGTGGCAATTACAGATCAGAGTAGCTTTATTTCAAATGTTCTCTTCTAAATATCTTTAGGTGCTGTAGAATTCAGTGGACTCCTTTGTACTATTATTAAGCTCACTATTCTTAATTCTAAATGAATATTTAATTCATTACTAAGCTGTTATTCCAACTGATCTTACATACAATATTTAACATGTTAGTTTAATAGTGACAGCGCTAGTGTCTTTCTGTTAGTTTTTTATCTATATAAAAAAGGCTAAAAATAATAAAATAAAACCCATGTGTTTCAAACTTCAGATGCCATTAGTATCAAAGGGGTTCTTTGCCTGCTCAGTGCCTTCCACCCTGATGTTGAAGGTAAGCTTTAATGGTTAGCCATTGTGGTGTAGTTTTGAAAGGACACTCCCTGTTTCTAAAACTTTGTTCCTAGCACTTGATTCAATCCAAGCACTTAGTGCATGCCAAGAAAGCGACCTTTGCTAACTCTTCCAGTGAATACAGGGCTGTGTTCACACAACTGGCTGTGCTACATGTGAGCTGCGGGAAGAACAGAGCAGACTGAGCACAGGCTGCTTTCTTCCGTGCTCCAGAGCTGCCTGTACAGAAGTGGGTAGGGAGGCAGCCTGGTTCCCAATGAATTTCTGGCAGTGGTTGTCTAACTATTGGAGCATGAATTTTTCGACCCTATTTTCTCTCTCTTTTTTCTTTAATTCCTCATAAAGAAAATTTGAGGATTTTATGTCTTGCATCTTAATGCCAGTAGATGGGAACAACTTAAACAACCTTCTGTTTGTGAAATTTGTTTCCTAGAAAGTGACCTGTATTGTGAACTTAGTAATCTTGCATTTAAATTTATTCTCTGTATTATGTACTTATACACTTACGTATTACCAAGTCAAGTTTTGTGCTGGTAGGTTTTTCCCACGCATTTTACCTAGCTTGCCCCACCTAGTTAGCACACCTAACTATGGGTGGAGTTGATGTGCAGTCTTTGTGTTCCCTGCAGAATTGTCTATCAGGTTTCAACGGTTTACATCACTGCAAATTCTCAATGGAAATGGTCCATGCAGACCTCGGATCCTGTTCTCTTGCACTGACTGAGAAAATTGAGGTCCAGCACTGAGGTGGCAGAAGTGGCACCAAAGCTACACTGCAAAGTGTTAGCTACAGGGTGCCACTAGAGATGAAGGTGTGCAGTCCCTAACAAACCAAGAATAATCATTCAACTTTGACACTTTGGTCATTTCTGAGACACCTCATACTTGGATTGCTTCTAGTGGACTTTCTGAAGTCCATTACTCTTGGGAAAATTACTTACTCTCTCCATGAACTTAATTCTGCTCTTTGAAACTACAGATGAGATAAACTTGAGTGTGCTCATCTTTTCTCTTTGCAACCTCTTGCAACAGAAAGATGTGATTAGGGTAGGATAACAGGGAGCAAAGTTCAGTAGTATGTGCTTCTGGTCTGTGTACCTGGGAACATGATAAAAGCTACTATGAATTGCCAGCTTCCAGGAAGGGACCTTTGCTAACTAGAAGAATCTAAGGTGATGTAGCCGTCAAAACTTCAAGCACAGAGTGCCATTTACCAAGGTCTCAGTGAAATGTTATCTGAACACAGTTTGAAACTGACTGTTCAAGGAGGACTGCTGGCATGACCAGTCAGTGAATGTCTGACTTGATGTAAGAGACTCACATTGATTTGTTTAATCTGGACTACCTGGGCATTGGGACAGACACTGAGTGCTGTCTCTAAAGCATTAGGAAATCTGTTCTGGGGAAGAAAAGGCCATTAGAGCTGGAGGATAATGCTGGCAGAAGAACAAATGGGTTTAAGCTGAGAGGAAATGTTCCTTATGTTTTATAAGAATCGGGCTCAATGGCAGCTTTCCAGCCAGACAGTTGGGGGTGCAAATCTCAGCTGCTTTCAGGATAGACGTTGGTACATTGGTAACAGAGATTATCTGATATTCACTCTTACTGTTAGGAACTGAATTCATGATCCAAAAGGGCCCTGTCCCAGTAAGAAATCAGTATTTCAGTAAGTAGAACAACTACTTCATCATTTAGAAGTTATCTAAAATTAAATGTTGGTTTAGGGAACCTGATCATCCTGCAGTGGCAAAAAACTGACAGATGTCAAATCACTGTATTGGTCAGCACAATGTGACAAAAATCTCGGGTCTCTCATCCTGTCTATGTATCTTTAGGTCTGATTCTGGTTTTCTTCATACCTTATTGGCATGAAGCAGAGTACTGTAGGTTTATATGTTCTTTAAGTTCACAGTGACAGCCAGAGAAATATGTTCATAGATTCCAAGAGGACACTGAAGAGGTTATGTATCATCAAAGAATAAAAATTACGCCTTTTCTTTCAATAAATAAGAGAGGGTTTTGAGTTTTCTTTTCCTGTTTTGAACAGGAAGGATATATTCACTGTATTCAGAAAACATTTACCAAAATGTCAAAAATATTTTTGTCTCTTTTTTTTTCTAGTTGGGGAATGGCGGTCAACGTGTACTCTACCTCTATAACCCAGGAGACTATGAGCAGACATGACATCATTGCATGGGTTAATGATATATTAGCTTTAAACTACACAAAAGTTGAACAACTCTGTTCAGGTAAGAAAGCACAGTATGCTCTACAAATGTTTATTTTAAAACCACTTTAAAAGTCTGATTTGTTGAAAATAGATAACTTTTCACTTTGACATAAACCAGTTACTCTGAAAAAAGAGACTGATGTATGTGCACAGGAAGCATTTTTGCATTTGTGTTAATCATGGGAAGATAAGGTACCTTGGCAAAGCATAACAAAGGCAGAGGTGAATGGGACAAATGTAGCAGGAGATACATAGAAGTAATAGAAAAGGTTGGCTAAGTAAGTAAAGAATACAGTGATAAGTGTTAGTGTTTTAAAGCCACTGGGGTAGTATCTTTTCAAATGGGGAGTGGACATAACTGAGAAATAGACAAATAGAGAACCTACACCCCAGATGAACAAAATTATCCAGCTCCTTTTCCTTCCTGATGAGATTTCTCAAATCCCTGCTGATGTTTGCAAGGAAAAAAACACAAGTGTGACTGAAGAAAAAACATGGGTTTGAGGAAATGAGCCTTTAGCTGCTGTGAGGGCTTTAGAACTTTGTCAAAATCTGCCTGTTTCTCTTTAAATCTGAGAATTCTCTTTAAATCTTTACTTATTGCTGTAAGTATATTTGGTAATGAGCCCTGAAAAAAGGGTAATAGTTTGAATATTTCAGACATTTTGGTTAATAGAGTTGCAGCTAGAGCATAGGTGTTAAACAACAGGGTCTGTAACTAGATGATGGCTAGAAATGACACAGAAAAAGGCTGATGTTTCACTGTGAATATACATACCCCTGGGGAATGACTTCTTTCTGATTTCCTACTGTGATTTTTAAATTTGGAGGTGTCTGGTGGAGGAGCAGTTTGTTTGTGGAGGAGGAAATCTAACTTAGATTGCTGTTTCCAGACAACTAACATTCTGGGAATATCTTACGAAGATATTGTCTTATCTTATGAAGATAGTGCTCAAAGCACATGGAAGAGGAACCATGAACAGATTTCAGTTATTTTTTGGTCTAGATGAAATGAATAAATAGGGTCTTTTATATTCATATATTTGATCTTACCCAGCATTCTGGGTAAATTCTCTGTCTCAGAGATGTTCCCTGGAAGATATAAATAATCCTTTGAGGTTGATAGTCTTGTAGCCTATTCTTCAAAGTTTAAGAAAGCAATTTTCAGCTGCTGAAGTGGAATTCCAGATTTGCAGCCTTGCCCAGTGACCATGAAAATGAGGTTGAAAAAGTGCAGGATAAAGTCAATGCAAGCAGCTGATATAAACTGAACAACTAAAGACATAGACCATGGGAAATATTTTTTTAACTGTTATTAAACTTGAAATAGAGGTGTTATCTCTGTCTCTCCAGCTGTTGTTATATTTGTATATCAGGAAGTTAGCCTAAGTATTTTATTTCAGTGTATATAAAGAGAGAATTCGCACAGGGAGTAGCTATAGATAGATAGATACACATGTGCACACAAAGAAGGAGATAGAAACAGAAGAAAATGGAGGTTTGCATCCCAAAATACCCAAAATTTGCTATTGTTTGAAACAGGAAGCATAGGAGACAAGTTGTTGACTTGTTCCTGTGTAGCTATTTAAATGCTCATAAATAGTTGAAAGGAAGCTTTTGAAGCGAGTTCTCAATCAAGTTAAATGTGTGTGGGCTTACACAAAAAACCCACCCAACCAAAAAAAAAAAACCTAAGACATAAAAAATTTACCAAAACCCTTTCTGAAAAAAAGGGAGAAGTGATCTAAGAAAATATTGACTAAGCAGAATAGCATGAGTTAAAGTTATGTAAGAAGATCAGATAGAGAGACTTCAGCTGGGTGGGGCAAGGAGGGGAAAAGCATGGGAACTGTCACAAATCCACTGTCCCATTTCAATACTTCAGCTTCTTATACAACTTTTTCTGTGACCTACAGTGAGGATTTTGGGACACGCCTCAAGGGAAGAACTGAAAAAGGGTGGTCTCATTACAGCTCTTACTCCATTCTGTACAAAATTAAATCTTTTCTTCCTTCAGAATTTCCTGGATTGTACTGATTGTTTTTGTTACCTGATGCTTTTACATTCTCGTCTTTATGGGTGAAAGCTGTTGATTTGAATTTCCCCATTTGGTTTGCTAGTTGAACTTGATGCTTACACACTCCTGTTTTTACATTCATGTGTTTTACAAGGGGGTTTAATAGTTCCTTATCTAAAGAAGCATTCTAGCACAGTGCTTCCTGTGTTTGGGAGGACTTTACTCTCTGAACTGATGAATATAAACACTGATAGGTTATTGCAGACACTGGAGCACAGTAATCTTAGTCTTAATAGGTCGTTCCCATTTGAGGCTACATAGTCCATTTCTCATGTGCAAGGCATCCATGTGTAGGGATTGAAGACAGATGGTTTGGGAATCTTTCTGCATTTGATACAGTTTACTGTGTGAAGTCAAAGCAATTTATTTAATGTACATATATTTTATTTCGCCTATTTCTAGTGTAGCTTTCAAGAAGGAAACTAAGGGAACAGTAGCACAAATGTTGAGCCAACTAGCAGGCAGAGCACCAGCAAGCAAGCATGGTATGGACTGCAGTTTGAGAATGGCCAGTCTAACTTATTCATTCTGGCATTCTTTGGCTGACCTCCCTTGAACCATTGGCAGCTTTCATGCAGATTAATGCTTGTTACCATAAAATATGAGCATTTCTCCAGAACTTCAAAGGGAAGGAATATGTGGGAAACTCTTTACAGCTATGAAGCATTTCATAGCATTAACAGGGATCTGCAGAGCTGCTGTAACTGAATTTTATAACCTACTGTAAAATTGTATGGACATTTTCTTCTTTTTTAGAAAAAAGCATTAAGATCAGTCATGCTGTTTTATGACTATTCAGTTCTTGTTCATTTTTGCTAATAAGGAGCAATCAAAATGCCTGAAACAGCTAAATGCAGGGCCAAAAAAAGTGGGAGAGGGAAAGCAGGGGGGATGTTATATCTGAATTGAAAGCTCAAAGGGGTTACTTTTAGGACGTAGGAGCAACCTAGATATGGCATATGCTTGTGTTCAGCACCTAGCTGTGAGACCTCACTTGTGCCCACATTTTGCAGCCAACCTAACAATAATTTTTGACATTCAGAGCTTAAGCAAGGAGGAATAATGTGACATTCCGCCTTTACTAAAGGCTTTATTCAGAACATATCTGAAGCTTAATGTGACAGTAGTTACAATGACAGAAAAAGCAATCAGACCTCCTTTTCCTCACTGCTGTGGAGAAGTAGCTTTGATAATAGACATACTGTAGCAATACCAGCCTGTTTCTCAGTTTCCACTTAGAGGAACAGAGCTGCTAGGATGAGGAGCAGCAAAGGAAGAGGCTGGTTTAGTCATAAAGTATTTGTATTCCTTGGGAGTCTTAGGTGTGTTTTTTTCTCTGCTAAGTAGGCCGAGCAAAGTGCAGTGTCCCCTGAGCTTTCTGAATGCCTGCTGTTGTAGTGATGTGCCAAGAAAGCCAGGTTATGGATGGGTGCAGCCCTGGAGAGTCTTAATTCAGTCTGCAGCTCCTCTGGTAATTTAGTTTTGACAGCTAAACAGGGAAAATCTCTCCAACCATCTCAGTACAATTCTTCTTGCTTTAGATACGTGTCATATTGTCAGTTTTTGGACTCTGGGTTTGATTTCCTGCAAAGTTGTTTTACCTGAGCATGAAATTTATAAACCATGGTTTTAATAGAAGGCATAGAGCGTTCCCTTTAGACTGGCATTAGAGAGAGCAAGCGCTTAATTTGATACATCGATGAAATATAATAAAGAACAATTGAAAGGATGTAATGCTGTAGGATCCCAAGTGCAAAACCCACAGGTTTGGGGAACAAGAGTTTCATTTGAAGTATGACATCAGTTGTTTTTTAGGAGTCATGGTTTTTTTTTAAGGAATACACAGTGGCTTCTTAGAAAGAATTCTGACTAAGCATCCTATAACTGAATTTTTTTTTCTAAGGCAGTTTTTCATCTCTAAGGAATACCAAGTGTATGTGTTGCAGGGCTTTTCATGACTGTTAGAGTGTTACATGAGAGTATATTCAAAATAAGAGTCAGGCAGGAGACTGTAGAAGGCTTGGATATGAATTAAAAAGAAACAACACAATGTCTACAAGCTATATAATGTCAAGGAAATGGTAAATGGATAGAAAAGAAAAGGTGGCCTGGAGCAAGGTATACTTTTTGACATAGCTATACTTCTGTGATCCTATGAGATTAAGGAGATACAGACTCTCCCCACACTGTGCATTTGAAAATTCTCTGTAGAATTATAAACTTGCAAATTGTCTGGCCCCCAGTGCATACAGACCTTCTGTCTTTGAGGATTTGTACGCAAGGATCAAGGATTGAATGCAGGGTTGTTTTTCCCTTGCTTTTAATAAATGGCCGTATTATAAAGAAAGCATGTGGTTTGGCATTTTCAAATTTTAGACTCTTTCTCTATAGGTGCCCTGGGTGTTGCCAGAGGGAATTTCTCATGTGGTGACTTCTGTACCATATCTCAGTTGGTGTTCCTGCTGTGGAGATACGTAGTCCCTTTATATATACATTTTGTTGGCACTCCACCTCCCTGTTGTTGGAGAAGAGCAGGTGTGACAATAGGGCAGATGTCATTCTCTGTTTGACTTTGTGTCACCTCTCTGGCTCGGGATTTGGAGGAAAACTTCACTGTGGGCTGTTATCCCCTGTGACTGGTGCTGTGTGAGGGAGGAGGATCGTTCCTGGCTTGTGGAGGGTGTCTGTGGTGTCCAGCTTCCAGGGACTGAGTACTGCTCCCCGGCCCCTTGGCAGGGCAGCTCCCGTTTGCAGGGCAGCCATCGTGTCTCCAGCCCCTCAGCCTCAGGACCCTGGGCAGCAGCAGGGAGCAGCATGCCAAGCACAGCTGCTCCAAGGGAGCCAGCTCCTCTCCACCATGCCAGAGAAGGGTTGGGGGAGCTGGAGAAGGGTATTGGCCAGACAGAGAAATGGTGAGCAGTGGTATTTTGTTAGAAAGTCAG